AGCGGCGGCGGCGGCAGAGCCATCAGCCCCTTCCTCTTCGGCTTCATTTGATCCGAACGCGAGGAGGTTGGCAAAGTCAAAGAGCGCCTCTGCTACCTCTGCCTCCTGCGCTGACATCGACACAGGAGCAGTCGGCCTACCACCAGGCCCAGCCGCCCCTGCTGCTGCTCCCCCTGCTGCCCCAGTTGCTGCTCCCGGGCCGGCTTTTGGCCGGCTTGCAGGGGGGTGGGGACCTGGCGTGGGGGCAGACGCTGTAGCAGCCGCTGCTGCTGCTGTGGCTGCTGCTGCTGCTGCTTTGGCCTGGAGACGAAAGACGGCGGGAACAAATAAGCACAAAGGAAATGGGACAACTTCGAACCGTTGAAAGGATAGGAGAGATTGACCGGGAGAAACAGGTCACACCTTTGAGAACTCTCAAAAAGGGTCACACCTTGCTGACAAACCTGACAGAATGGTGGAATTACGAGGCGAAAGACAGGGACAGAGAAGGAAAACTCAAGCTTACCTTTGCCGTGCGTCCCTTTACTTTTTCGCCGGCCCCTGCCTGCCCAGCCCCTCCTCTTCCCCCCTCTCCCCTACCGCTCCTCGCCCCCCTCCCCCCTCGCCCTCCGCCCTCCCCTCCCTCCCCTTTGTTCCCCCTCCCCCCGCCTCTGGGCCCAGTTCCCCCCCCTCCCCGCCCCCCGCCTCTGCTCCTCCCGCCTGAAGCTGCAGCCGGCACTGCAGCAGCTGCTGCTGAAGGGGAAACACCCACCCCACCAGCCGCTGCTGCAGCAGACACTGTCGCGGCCCCAGCAGCAGCAGCTGCAGCAGAAGCGCCAGCAGCAGCGACACCGGCGCCAGTACTACCAGCAGCGCCCATACCACCTACTGCTATCCCTGCACCAGCTGCGGTACCTTCCTCTATTCCACTCCCACCTCCTCCCCTACCTCCCTCTCCTCCCCCTCTTCCCTCCTCTCCTTCTCCTCCTGCTGAAACAACCACACCCGCCACACCACCAACTCCTCCCCCACCCCCTCCTCCTCCTCCTCCCCCTCCCCGTCCCCCGCCTCGTCCCCCTCGACCCAGACCTCTCACTCCCCTCCCTCTCCCTGCAAACGCTCCCTCCCCTTCCCCATGCCCACCACCCGCTTTCCCAGCCGCTTTGCTCTCCCCGGACTCAGCTGCAGCCCCAACCCCAGAGGCAGCGTGACCCTGTCCTAAGCGCCAGTCCACATGCGCCGCCCCACCCCCAGCTGCCGCTGCTGCAGGAGCAGCAGCGTCTGTGCGGGGGGATATGAACCCAGAGGCTGCATCTGTTGCTGCTGCTGCTGCGTGGCTGCTGCTAGCAAAACCAGATCCCATCTCTCCTGCTGCTGACGCGTTTGGGCGAGCGGGAGTAGCAGCAGGAGCAGCAGGAGAAGCAGCAGCAGCAGGAGGAGGAGACGGAGTAGGAGGGAGCGCGAAGGGTCTGATGTGGGATGCATCCGTGTCCCCTCCCAGCCTGTGCTTTGGATCACCGGCTTCAGCTCTTGCTTGTGCTGCTGCCGCCGCTGCTGCTGCCGCTGCTGCTGCTCTCTGGTAGAGGAAAAAATGCACGAAAAGGAACATAGTCGCTATGAGGAAGAGGGTTTGTAGCACAGGAATTGGTAATCTATGAGACGAGGTGAAAGGAGAGGAAAGGGAGATGATAGGAGAGGAGATGAGTGGAGATGCGAGAAGACAGATGAGGCACACTTGGAGAGAGAGAGTATGCTGGACAATGGATACAAAGAAGTATACACAAAGTGCAAGGGAACAAGAGTATGGGAGGAAAAGAAGACAGAGAAAGGTAGAGAGTAGAGATGCAACAAGGAGCCACGAACCTCGTTCTTCCTTGGCTTGGATCGAGCTGCTCGCACCTCCCCCTCTCCAACCCCCACTCCCACAGAACCACCAGCACCAGACAGACGCGTCCCAGGCGCACCAGCCGCCACAGAAACCCCCCCTGGCATCCCAAGCCCTTCTGCTGCCTGCCCGCCAGGCAGCCTCATGTCTCCCCCCTGACTCCCCCCCTCACTGCCTCCAAACCGGGCACCTCCCAAGCTTCCCCCCTCGTTGCTCCCAGCCCAGGCTTCCCCCAAGCTTCCCCCCTCGCTGCCCCCCATGCGGTCTGCAGCAGGCGCAAGACCTGTTACTGCCGCCCCGTGTCCGTGTCCCCCCGCTTGCAATCCGTGACCGGACTGGCCGGGCAAATGGGGAGGCATGGAGTCAGGCAGGGAATGGGAAGGGACAGGCACCAAGCTCCCATGCCCATGCCCAAACTTCCCATGCCCGTGCCCATGTCCATGCCCATGCCCATGCGCAAGCCCATGCCCATGCCCATGCGCAAGCCCATGCCCATGCCCGTGCCCATGCTTATGAAGTGATGCTGAAGGATCCTGTTGCTGCTGCTGCTGCTGCTGCAGCGGCTGTGCCAACCCCTGTTGCGGTTGCTGGAGAAACGGGGAAGAGAACGGCGGTATTCTAAGCCCCGTTCCCGCTCCCTGGTTCTGACTCAACTGCGCCATTCCCTTCCCTAACTCCTGAACTGGAAAACCTTGGCTCGGCAGCTCCAGCTGCTCCGAGCCAGGCCCGCCTGCAGGTCCGGCAGCCCGAGCCTGGCTTGCTGGCGAGTCGTGCTTGTGCCTGCTGCCCCTCTTACCCGTCTCATGCGGCCTCAGGTGCATCAACTGCGGCTCCTGCCCTTCCTTCTCCCCTTTCGCCTCCTTCTCAACACGCTGATTATGCTCCTTATGATCCTTATGCTCCCTCCCGGCCCTAGGCACCCCATCCCGCCCCTCCTTAACCCCTCTTCTCTTCCCCACAGGATGCCGATGCTCCCTCTGTTCCCTCTGGTCCCTTTTCAAACCTCCCGCCCCCCCACTTCCCACTCCCTCCTGCTCCGCCTCACCCTCCCCTCTCTCCCTCGCAGCGTCAACCCCTCCGCCGTGGGAACCATGCTCTCTCTGCTCTCTCCCACTCGCCCTCCTTCTCCCGTCCTCCGATCCCTCCTGCTGTTCCACATTGTTTACACCCCCTGGGCTCAACCCCTCCGGCCAGGATCGCAAACCCGTGCTTTGCATTGCAGATTCTCCCAGAAACGCACCCGCTGCTTTCCCTGCTGCAGGAGACCCGCCAATAGCAGCGCCACCAGCACCAGCGCCACCAGCACTAGCTGCGGCAGCACCCGCTGCTGCCACAGCAGCAACGGCAGCAGCAGCAGCAGACGTTTTCCTTTTGCGAGAGTGAGAGCCGTCCCCGGATATAACCTTCCTCTCCCTGCCGTGCGCCATAGCCGCCTGCCCTTTCAACTCCCTCTCCCCGCTCGCCTCTCTCTCGCCTCCATCCCCACCGCTAACTCCCCAATCGTCCCCTTCCCGCCTTTCCTCTTGCCCCATCCCCACCTCCTCCTCCGCTCTTCTCTCCCCTCCTGCGCCAGCAGCAGGAGAGGAGAAAACCGACGGGGAGTGCGACCCCAGCGGCGGCGTCAGCGCATTTCCCTCATGCCAACGCTCGATCTCCCCCCGTTTGTCTCTCCCGCGTTCCTCCTTCCTCTCCTCCTTCCTCTCCCTCTCTCTGTCCCTCTCCCACGAGCCAGGGGACGGTGAGGCGTCTTCATGGGAAGCACCGTCCCAACGAGGCGTGACGTCCAGGTGATGAGGCTCCGAAGAGCGTTTCACCTTGGCTGTAATGTACAAACGGGGTTGCAGGGGAGGAAAGGAGGGGAGGAGAGAAGGGAAGAGGAGCTTTTGAGGTTCCTCCTCACACGTGGAACACCAAGGTGACATCATGCGAAGCACCGTCCCAGAAGGAGTGACGTCCAGATGATGAGGCTCTGAAGACCGCTTCACCTTGGCTGTAAAGTACAAACAGAGTTGCATGTTGCAAGGGAGAAACACAGGAAAGAGGCGGGAGAGTCGAACTTTTAAGGTTTCTCACAAGAATACTAAGTTGTCTTTTCGCAAAATGAGGCTTGGAAGATCGGGCTTCATTTTGGAAGCAGGTGGAGGGGAGAGGGGGGGGAAGTGCTGGGAGCCTCAAGCAATGCATCTCCACGTCAGGCAGGATCGCGGAGCACAGACGGCCTGGCTGAAAGGGCCGAACGAACGCTTCACCTTCTGTAGTTTCAGTGCAGTGGGGAGGAGGGGCGCGGGTAGGGGGGAGGGGGAGGGGGAGGAGGAGGAGGAGGAGGAGGAGGAGGAGGAGGAGGAGGAGGAGGAGGAGGAGGAGGAGGAGGAGGAGGAGGAGGAGGAGGAGGAGGAGGAGGAGGAGGAGGAGGAGGCGGCAAGCGGAGATGGAGACGGGAGCGGGAAGGAGACAGGTAGAAAAGTCGGCCTGAGTAGGACATCATGGCGCAAAACGTGTGACGAGGATCAGAGGGCGAGGCTGAGACTGAGAGGCTGAGGCTGAATGGCTGAAGCTGCACGGCCCACTCATCCATCTGTGAGGCGCTGTAGCATGCTCTGTAGCTGTAGCTACAAGAGGTGCCAGGCCAGGCCTACGCAATCAGGCACGTGAAGCCCTTCGTAGTGCACAGGAACATAGTACCAAGAGACATGACAACGAGTGCGCAAGCTACGTTGATGGTGCTTTTCAGAATTCTCAAAAGTACCATCAACGTGAAGCCCTTCGTAGTGCACAGGAACATGGTACGAAGAGAGACATGACAACGACGTGCGCAAGCACGAACACACCATTAAGGCGTACAAGTGTCAGTGAATAGCAATGCACTGGAGTAAGGGAGGGAGAGGAGCAAATACTCCACAACAAGCAGGCGAAGCGTTCAACTCAACACATCGGTTCCTCAACTTGCACTTTTTACCAGTGCGTGTGCGGCGAGGCACTGCTGTGAGAGTGACGGGGCCGTTCTCATCCATCGACTGCATCAACCACACGGGCAGACAAAGGGGAGGAGCGCGGGAAGAAAGAGGGCGGAAAAGGAGCGGTCAGACGGAGACACGGGGAGATGAGGAGCGGTGCAATACAATGTTTCAAGCGCTAGTGGGTACGGAGCTCAAGGAAAGAAGGGGAAACGGCGAGCACGAACGGTTAAGCGGCAATGAAAGACAAAACAGCATGCTTTATCAGGCACAACCAGACGTTTCTCTCGTTACCTCCTACAAGGCTACCTCTCCCCACACGAACCTCGAGCTTCGACCCTGGAAGGCGGAACTTCGGCGGACGCCTCGATCCCGCGGGGGAGTCCTCGCGCGGGTCCCCGGGCGAGGGGGAATCACCATGCGCGCTAATCCCCGCGGCCTCCCCGACCCCCGCGCCTGCGCCTGGTGGCGGAGTGGCCTCCTCCTCCTCGTCCGCTTGAGGGGAGAAGGGGGAAACGGCTTCGGACGCACTCCGCTTGCGCTTCGTTTTCGAGCCGTTGGATCCTCCAGAGCCTACTCTTGGTTTGTCTCGCTTCCGGCTATTAGACCCCGTGGAGTTGTACGCGTTAGTACCAGCTCCAGCATTATTCCCGCCGCCAATGTCGACAGAGTGTCGACTGGATCCTTCGATACCGCCACCTCCGCTTGTGTCACCTCTCGCGATTCCTCCTCCTCGTGAGCCGTGGCTCTCAAGTCCAGACCCATCGGGTGTGGAATGCCCGGCATCTGTTCGTGGGTCAAGGGAAATGACGAAGAATGTAGGGTGCGCAAAAAACGCTTCAGAAAACCATATGGCTGATACAGGACCGCTTTTTCTCGTGAAAAAAGGCCCTTCGACAGAGGTCCCTTGGTATCGATAGGCAATGAAACCGAAAAGGAAATCCAGCTTCTTTTACTGCGCATAAGCTAACGCAAAAGGACATAAAAGTCATAACAAGAGCAAAAGAGGCTCTTATCGTCTTAAAAGCCAGGCGTCTATGAACCATCTATAACTCAAAGCGCTTAAAATAATCGGTAACTATCAAATGGATAAAGGGGGTAAACGACAGTGTTAAGCTCTGCTGTAAAATATTAGCGCCATGAAGGCTCCGACTACCAGCGACCGGTAAGTAACTAAACCTCCGTTCATTTAAGTCAAAACCGCAGTCATCTCGTATGCCATTAACGCGGATGGAGAGGAGAAAGTGCTACCTTTCGTAACAACGACCGAGCCTGACACGTTCAACGTCTACCAAGCTAACGTGATGGTTACACCTACCTGGCGACTGCACCGACATTCCTTCAAATCAACGACAAAAAAACTTTAACGGCTCAAGAATTCGCCGGTTCCAGCTACCAGCACCAGCCAATAACGCTCGGCTAAGTGGAACCGCCGGCTGCGAAAAAAATAGCGAACTACTGGAGAAAAAAAAACTGTTCGACGGAGCTGGGAAATTGTTCGCAAAGAGTCTCTTATAATCGCCAAATCTCACGACTAAAAGGCCGACAGCACGACACCGTTCACTAAAGCTTATGAAAAAATGCGGACTGATCTTCTTAACTTCCTCAGGGAACGTCAGATCCACACCGTAACTTCGCGTCATCTAAAAAGCTAGGAGACGGCTCGGGAACAATTAAATTACTATGCATTATCGACTAATATCTAAATTACCTTGAGTCTCCTTAGGTCCAATGGAGCTCCTCGACCGACGCTGCGTCGGAGTGGTCACGGGACCCTTATCACCTTTTCTCGTTTCTCTCATCCTGTCCATCGTCTCAAAATAACGATCGGGATTTCTGACTTCAACAATACCCACGCAACTGGAAAATCTGGCCTACAAGGAAAGCCTTCACGCCTAACGGCGTATTCTAGAAAGCCTGAAACGAATTTCTAGCCGCAACGTCGGCCAGCTTTCATTAGATTCCTATCAGCGTCAGCGTCTCGGCCAAACTCGGCCTCAGTCACGGGACTGGCATTGCGACCAACACCCATCGCAACAACCAGCGAAACCAGTAACACTCAGAAGGAGAACAAATCTCCTGTCAAAACCTTTCCGTGACCTTACTCCTGTTTCTTCCACAACCCCAGACACACGCATCTAGAACCTAGACGAAGAGAGGCTCTGGAGTCAGGTAAAAGGGAGAGGAAAGGAAAGGAGAGGAGAGGAGATAGAACTGGAGAGGAACGGAGAGAGGCTTGCAGGCAGCAAAACACCTTTGCAAAGCAGTTGGTGCTTGCTTCTCCCGCCAATCGGGGCGGGGTTATCAAAACAAACCCCTGATTGGGCCGAGGCATATCCAGCCTCCAGCCACGCTCGGCACGGGTTTGGCGGGGAAAGTAAACGCGAAGAGATGCGAGCAGGTTTGGTCGGGCAGATCATTGGTTGAGATCGAGGTTCGAATGTCCGAACCTTACTTTCCCAGTCTGCTGACCTGGAGATAGGTGCCAGACGTCTCACTTTTGCTTGGTTGAATCGATGTTGCTGTGTTCGAGATTGCTGAAGCTGCTGATTATATTCCTTGCCTTGAACCGAGCTGCGGCCGAGCCACACCCGACGTCCAGGCTTTGTGGGGTTTCCTGGAGATGGCTTGGAGGCTCCAAGTGCCCACTGCCACGTGGTTGAGGCGTGACTGGTTGCTGGTTGAAAAGGGTGATCCAGAGTTTTGAGCTCCTGTGTGAGGTTCCTGCGCATGACATGGCGACGGAATGCAATCGGCTCCTGATTGGCTAGGCTAGCGGCTTTGGGGAATCTGCGCTGCTCTGGCTCCCAGGAAACGCGGTTGCGACTGTCTAGTGAGTGGAAGGCCACAGCAAAGCTGGCCAACAAACTCGATCAGGCGGGCAACTCTGGTCCGAACCGAACCGAACCAGAACTCAAGCCAAAATGAAGCTCACACCCCCGATTGAAAGGAAACCCTCTCTCATCGACCAACGATCGGATCCAATATCGATGACCAAAGTGGTAGCTTGGCCAAACGGAGAAGATCGTGGCTCGGAATGCGACCAGACCAAAAGCCTCGCTCTGGTTGAGGTGAATTGGCTTCACCCCCGACTTTCAACCTACCAGAGCTCTGACCGAGCCACAGGTTGAGCCTGCCAGACCTAAACTAGCCACGTCATCAGCGTCTCGAAACGGTGACAATTAGGCTGTTGGTGACACATGATTGGTTGCCATCCTCGATTATGTCGGTCGCTTTGGAGGCTGATGTGTCGAAGGAAAGCCCACATGTTCTGGGCTGCTGAGTCGTTTCCTGACGGCTCAATGGTTGGCCGAAAAATCCTTTCTTCCTGCCCTACAAGAGGGGAAGCTACAAGTTACCAAAATATATGCACTGCCACGTCAGGGTTCGGCAAGCACGATGTGGACTGCCCTAAACCTTCGGAAACAGTACAGTGCAACCGTCGTCGTTCATTATCGGGTACAACACGATCTTCTTCTATGCACTAGACTCAATTTGGATATTCGAAACTTCTAGTTTCGGGTGCACACGAAACAGTCAAGATGGACTTTTGGAACCCATATACTATGTGCAGCACCTTATGCAATCATGTCATAGCTATATGTGTATACAATTCCACTAAATGGCCAATAGCAAACCAGTTTGCATATCAGAACCAATGAGGCTTGATGTACGTTGCGGAGGGGGTTGAATGGGACGAGGCTACGTGTACGGGGCTAGATACGGTGTGTTTAGCACAAACACACAAGCCTTCGAGCTAAGCATTTACCGCCGGGCTGAGCATCTACGCCAGGCTTCAGTTGTCCTCAGCGTGACAATGAAACACTGCAACTTTGTTCCGACAATAGACGGGATAAGATGTACAGTAAACAAATGTGCATAAAACACTAGGCTGACTATTCATTGTTTACATCTAAGCTGACAGCTGCTGCATGGGCGGATAAGGAACCTGTGGGTTCACGAAACTCTCATGCACGAACGAGAGGTGGTAACACGTGTTACAACTGCTGGCAGGTTCTGCCTGGAACAGGCGGTACCCCAGGTCCTCCAAAGCAAACATGACGTCTGTGGTCCTACCCACGTGGTGGGTCCTGCATGGGGGAGCGTGGGGAAAAGAGACGAGGGAGAGAGATGAGAAGCTATGGGTTAGCCGGTCAGCCGAGAGTGTAGCACGAGAGTGTTACACGGCTAGGGGCAGGCTCTGCCTGGAACAGGCTGTATCCGAGGTCCTCCAGGGCAAACATGACATCTGTGGTGCGACCCACGTGGTGGGTCCTGATGAGGGGACACACACGGGCAGATCGGGAAGATGGGAGGCAAACATGTAAGTGTTACACAATAGAGGCGATTTTTGAGTCGACTCAAAAATCGACTCATCACAAGATGGGAGGCAAACAACTAGAGGCAGGTTCGGCCTGGAATGGAACGGGCGGTACCCAAGGTCCTCTAGGGCAAACATGACGTCAGTGGTGCGACCCACGTGGTGGGTTCTGAGAGGGGGAGATTGACAAGGGAGATAAGGGGGAGTGAATGGCAACACGTGAGTGCTGGCAGGTTCGGCCTGGAACAGGCATTGCCTGCCATCTGCTGGTGCGACACGGGGGAGTGGATGGCAACACGTGAGTGCTGGCAGGTTCGGCCTGGAACAGGCATTGCCTGCCATCTGCTGGTGCGACACGGGGGAGTGGATGGCAACACGTGAGTGCTGGCAGGTTCGGCCTGGAACAGGCATTGCCTGCCATCTGCTGGTGCGACACGGGGGAGTGGATGGCAACACGTGAGTGCTGGCAGGTTCGGCCTGGAACAGGCATTGCCTGCCATCTGCTGGTGCGACACGGGGGAGTGGATGGCAACACGTGAGTGCTGGCAGGTTCGGCCTGGAACAGGCATTGCCTGCCATCTGCTGGTGCGACACGGGGGAGTGGATGGCAACACGTGAGTGCTGGCAGGTTCGGCCTGGAACAGGCATTGCCTGCCATCTGCTGGTGCGACACGGGGGAGTGGATGGCAACACGTGAGTGCTGGCAGGTTCTGCCCAAGGTCCTCCAGGGCAAACATGACGTCTGTCGTGCGAGCCACGTGGTGGGTCGTGGCGTAGTCCTATCCACGTGGTGAGTCCTGTTTGGGGAAGGTTGTGAGGATCAGTGGGATAGAGGCGAGTCGCAAAGGGTTGCACTGTGAA